GGGGAATCCAGCCCCTCCCCCTGTCACGGCAGAGAGCCGTGACAGGATCGAGAGGTGAGCGAATGCCGGTATGTTTTCCCTCACCTCCCGATCTACTGAGCCGACCTGTGGCAGTCTCATTGTCACAGGTTGGCTAGAACTATGACGTGAGTGGAAATCACTCATCTCATAGTTCTCCTTTTAAGTACTTTAGCTATTAACAACAATGTATCTGATTTGTGTATCACTCGGCTGTAGATCCTCCAATCATCTCTGAATTGGTGCTGACCCTGTCCTTCCTTCTAGAGGGGGGCTACGTCTGTTCCCCATGGTCCCTGTATGTATTTGTAAAGTCACGGCTCCAAGCTCACTCCTGTCATATACTACAATCTCATGTTTAGTTTGGAGCTCCATTAGAGAGACTTTTCCTTACTTCCTATCCTGGTAACAATGTTTTATGGGACAGGAAGTGTCCAAAAAGCCCCCCCCCCCCCCACTCCATCCAATGCTAGAAAAGAGTTTATGGCTGGACATACAATGGGGGGAATTTATCAATTCTGGAGCAGACATCATTTGGAGCAGTTGCCTGTGGCAACCAATCAGCTTCTATCTTCAGTTTGCTCAGGTACAAATCCGGGATGGACTACAATCTCAATACAAATCGGTAAACTAAACATGAGATTGTAGTCCATCCCGGGAGCGAGCTTGGAGCGGTGACTACTTTACAACACACACAGGGACCATGGGGAACAGACGTAGCCCCCCTCCAGAAGGAAGGACAGTGTCGGCACCAATTCAGAGATGATCTGGTTTAATTCTAATGAGACTTTTCAGACACCGATATGAATCATTCAACACTTCAGTACTATTACAATATTCTTACAAACATAAAATTACCACAAAAAAAGTACAATCTAAATGAATATGTGACACCACATACAGCGGCATCACCTATTCATTTACATTGTAGGGTAGTATTCCTGTCCGTATATGATGTATACTAGGATCTAAGCTTGATTATTCATATCCACACCTTAAATCCGGATAGATAAAACCTATATATTGGTTGGCTATACCATAAACGACGCGTTCCTTTATACCAAAGTTTTGTTTCTTCAGGAGAGATGGCTGAGGGGTTTAAAGGAGAACTATGAGGCGAGTGCTTTTCACTCACCTCATAGTTCTAGCCGACCTGTGACAATGAGACTGTCACAGGTCGGCTCAGTAGATCGGGAGGTGAGCGAACACATACCGGCGTTCTCTCACGGCTCTCTGCCGTGACAGGGGAGGGGCTGGATTCCCCCCTCCCCGCTCCGATCCGCCAGCGCTGACTGGCGGAACGGACGGGGGAGGGGGGCGGGTACAGCTGGCTCTGCCTCTAGATAGGCCGAGCCAGCTGTCAGTCACACAGCTGGGCGGATCCCGGCACAATTGTCGGGATCTGCTTCAGCTGCTGCGTCTCAGTGTCTCAGAGCTACAGCTCCCTATATACTGAGACTAGGGTGGCGGGAGGACGCTAGTTTGTGTCCTCCCGTTACCCTAAGGAGAGCTATGGGGAAAAGCCCTGACCCCCATAGTTCTCCTTTTTTAAATGTAAAATAACAAATACTAATCGTGATATACATAAATACACACTATCCAAAAGGAATCTTCGATGGAGAGAGATTTATTTCCAGAGGAGATGTGCAGCTGGAGTGAGTGCATGTGGAGAGGAAGTTTGTAAAAAAAAAAAGGTCTGCAGTAGATCAGCAGCATTGAGATGGGGGGAGGGGAGGGAAGTAACAATTAATGTATTTTATTTATGACCTGCACAGTGCAAACCAAATGTCCAGCTCAGGTTTACATCTCTTATTTATTTATTTTTCCCTCCTTTTTTAGGACTCGCTTACTGAATTCAATTACTTCGACCCCTCCTGCTTTCTGCCAAGCTGTAACGACTACTGGACATATGCTGGATCCTTGACCACGCCGCCGCTGACCGAGTCCGTGACCTGGATTATGATGAAGAAACCCATCGAGGTCGACCACAGTCAGGTGACATGTCGTTAGAAATTCTTGTGATTTCACCTCCAAAGGGAGCTTGTGACCCCCCCCAGAGACGCCCCTCCACCCCCCTACAGAAGTGTGACGTAGACCTGTTAATAGTTGCTGCGTGTCTGAGGATTTCTCCCCACCATTAGAAAGGGACAGATGGGTGCTTGGGGGTCCTTGGGGTTTAGAGCAAGGGTGGGCAACTCCATCCCACCAAACATGGGTCATCCCCCCCCTACACTATCCAAAACTTAAAAGTGTACATTCGGCCAATATGTTATTTTAAGCAATATGGCTCCCTGTGTCACCTCTCCACCTCCAGGCTCAATGGGCACAGCATCGTCCCCTCCGTCCCAGGGAGCAGAGGGTAGACCAAGGGAGCTGTGATACTAAACAAGTATGTAGTAGAGTGGCCTCCTGACTAGGCGAGGTGTGTTTTTATCACCGGACTGGCTCCCCAAAATGACATCTCCTGAGGCAGATGGGCATGTGATGGAGCTGGACTGGTGCAGATAGGTGTCTGTGAATACATAGTCCAGTATGTTCTCCCTGGAGGAGGTAAATCTGCGGTGAATGTAGGGTGTATATAGACCTGGCCCTAGTCTGCTACCAGAGAAGGGCTTGGGTTCCAACTGAACTCCGTCCAAACCCGAGTTCTTCCGAACAAACAAGTGCCATGAGCAAATCGGCTGCAGGCCGGGCATTTCCACCCTACAGCTGCATGTAAACAAAGGGGCGGGATGTTTGTGCTGATGTCATTGTCCTTAAATTACATCCATCTATATGGCCATATATCAATTATAGGCATGTAGCCATATAAGGTCAATGATGTCCTGCATCCTGCCCCTTGGGGAATTCCCCCTGCTCACAGCGGATTGGGTGGCACGGAAGAGGCTTCCTTCCGGGTTCAGGAGGAACTCTGGTATGGACCACGTTCAAGGGATAACTTTTTTACATACCCGGAGTTGTTCTTTAAGCAGATAGAATATTAAAGAGAACCTAAATTGAGCCGTACACTGAGCCATGTGTTGGGCAGTTAGCCCGGGGTTCCACTTTAAGTCCAGCGGACTAATGCCTCTTCGGTTTTCTCTCCCACAGTTGGCCGTGTTCCGCAGTCTCCTCTACAGCGCCGTGGGGGAGGATGAGAAGAACATGGTGGACAACTTCCGCCCTCTTCAGCCGCTCATGAACCGCACCGTCCATGCCACCTTCCAGCCGGCGCTCAAGCTCTCCGACGCCAAGCCGCAGCGGCAGCAGTCCACGTAAACGCCTCGCTTGCCGGTGGCCCGAGTCAGATACCGACCTCTCTCCGTAGATGTAGCCGGACGCGTCCTTCCGGATATATGTAGTGATAACGAGTGTGATCATATCATCCAGCACTGCCATAGACGGGATCACCTTTTATATAACGATTTTACTCTATATTGTTTTACCGGAAACTTCGGGTTATTTTTTCTCTTTTCTCTGTTTTTTGATACTTTTATTATCCAAGTGACCTTGAGGGTCAATCATCTGTCTTCATTTCAGACTGGGGAGGGAGGCTGTATCTGGTCACATGACTCGGGGTTGTTTAAAGTGATCCATC